CTGATTTCTGCACTTATGTGATTGATACCTGCCTGGGCTCTGAGATGATTGCTTTATATGTTTTTTCTTTTCCTTAAAGAGACACTGGTAATTTTAAACTCTTTGGTTATGAATTGATGCTGTGTGTCCAGATCTATGAAGTATCTGGTGCACTGGGCTTTAGCACCCAGTCATTCTTAAGCAGCTTCTCATATTCTCAAAATGCTAATATCATCATCCTTTTCTTTCTCTCTAGCTGATGCTCAGTTCTTTACTGTTACCTGCTCACCCATTTTGTTCATACTATTACCTTTATGTTGATGCAGGCATTAGATACACCAGTGGCATTTAATGGATCAGCATACCTTGTTATTCTACTAGATGGGCTTGCCAGCAGTATGTACATTATCTTATATTAACACTTCTACAGATTCCACATTAATTATTTGTTCTGCTAATTGGCAACAGTTTCTTGCCTTGAAACTTCAGCCTGATACCCTCCTTACATTCTGTCTGTACATAGGATAGGTTAGATATATACTCCCTCCACTCCAGGAACAAGGCGTAATTTTTTGTTTTGCTAAGATCATGGAGGTGCTGTGCATCTGAATTGTTTCCCATCTTACCTAGCCCTCATTAATGAGCAAGATCATTTGTAGATTATCCTGGCTGGCTCTCCTCATCGAACCATGGCCATGTACGGCTGATTGACGAGCAGTGATAATTACATCCATTGTTTAGTCCACCAGTGCACAAATTATAGAGAAGGGGTATTTTTGGGAGGCCTAGTGCTAAACTACCCTTGCTCCTTCTTTCCAGGAATTTTGACAAAAGAAAATTATGCCTACTTTTCAGGAATGGAGGGAGTACATGCTAGAGATATGTTGCACACCTGCCGTCTATTTTTTTTACTGATTAACATCATATGGATTTGAGTTCTTGATAGCTAATTGTTCTTTCGACTAGCGCTTACTTTGATTCAGAGGAGACATATTGAGCAAGTAAAGGTCGTACTTCCTGCCATCCTTCGAGTTATGCATGCTAATTTATCAGAATATGATGGGGAACATAGAATGAGTACTGTTGATCTGTTCAGTGCAGCCCTCCGTATTGGCAATGCTATACAAGAAATGTGCAAAACAATGGTTTGTTGATTTAAATACAATTCTGTTGACCATCTCATTTGTTCTATTGATTCTGAGTTTTTTTTTGTTCACTAAAAGGTAAACCACAGGAAGGAAGAGTTATGTTCTATACTTGGTCTATACGCCCTTCAAAACATAGTGAGTACAAAATGGATGTTATTTCTAGAATATCCATGTATGTTCATCACTTTGATATACAAGGCTCTTTTGCAGGCTCTTGTATCATCAGAAAGCAAACATCAGAATATTCTATCTACTTGTGGTTCAGTTGTTCTTCAATATTCTAAATTTCTTATGTTTTGCGGCTTCACCTATTTGGGTCTTTTAACTGGTAATGATGTGACCTCAACCACCACTAAGCTTTCTAAAGGTGACTCATCCAAATTATTCCCATTTTTCTGGTTCCTTGGAATAGTTGTATATTATGTTTGCTTCATTGCTAACTCATGCATATGTCTGTGAAATGATGTAGAAGAGGACGACAATTTTCTGGACTGCTTTTCTTCTGCTATGGACGGTGCAAGTCTTGTAGGTTTGATAATCTTTCCTATCACATCACTTCCACTATTATTTAGAAGCTGTTTGGTCACATTCTTGAGCTCTCTTACAGTTGTGTGGACATCTATGCATGATGACATGTCAAAATATGCTGGAGCAGAGTTTGAATCAGCTCTGAAAGAAGTTCAAGACAATTGTATTAGGAAATGGGAAGCAATTAACATGTTTAGATACGTCTTGTCTTCAGTTAATTACTCATGGGCAATCAAATCTCACAGTCTGGACTTATTGTTGACTCTAGTTGATGATAAGTGTAGTGAGGAAACCAACTATCATGTAGATTTCCCATATTCCACTCAAATTTTTGCCACACTCAAGGTAATGTTTGCACTTTCTTAGAGATGAGTTGATATATTCGCAAATATTGTATTAACATTATAAGTATTTCCACAGGCCATTGAAAGAGTCATGATAGCTGCCCCAGATACGTTGATGCGGAAGAAAGCCTTTTCTGCCCTGAAAAGGGTATGTATCTTAAAATTCACATTGTGTGTGCAAAGAGAATATTATTTAGTCTGCCAAGCTTCTGTTTTCATTATTTTTCGTTCACAATAGATCATAAATTCATTTCATGTAATTTCTTGTGGAATAAATATGAAAATTTAATTGTTGCCATTTTATGCTCATGACATAGTAATACAGCAAAATTGGTTGTATTCAAATTTTGCATAACCCTCTGTAGTCTGTAGTCTACTGTGGCACTGTCCCTTTTTTTTAACATGTACATGTGTTCACTATAAATCCTATCAGGTTATTTCAGCAGTGCCATCCACTCAGAGATTTGATATCTTACAGGCCCTCATCGAGAATAGTATGTTCCCCTCCTTGGTAAGAGAACTTCTCATATCCACTATTCTTTGGAATGTTTGAGAGCACCAACTTGTCGATGCATGAGATGTATATGTAGGCAAAAGAGAGAATAAATAAATAATCATACTACAGCATTATGGACTCCAGTTTCTCAGTTCCTTCATGCAGCCTTATCTTATTGGACATGTTTCTTGTTGATATGAACTTCATTTTTGAACTCCATCCTTCAAATCCTGGCTTATGTTTACTTTGTTTATTGTTCTTTCAGACTGCAATTCTTTTAGATCTGGTGAAGAATGAAGTTTCGAGAGAGAGCCGTCGAGCTGATCAGGTTAATGGATCTGATCGATCACAAGATGCTGGGGAATCACCACCTTGGGCTTCTCAGGTGCTTGAGTTAGTGGAGCTGATCTTGAGGCCTCCAGAAGGTGGTCCTCCTTGTCTTCGTGATCACAGTGAAGAGGTACCCTTTTCTTTTGTTCCTTGCTGTGTTTAAAGCTGTACACAGAGGTGGTTGGTGGGAAGCCTTGATTGCTCAACGTTGAAAAGTTGGTGGGTTAGCTTCCTCAAATCAGTAATTGGACGTCAGTGTCTTCATTTCTCAAACTCAAATACGTAACACACCAGCAGCACATCTTTTCCTAAATGCTGGCTCAGTTCGTGGTTGCTAAACTATGCTGTGTTATGCTTACTTTATAATTTGCTGTTGAAAGTTAGACACAAAAATAGGTGAAAGCAAGTCAATAAAACACTAAATAGGCATAAGCTGGGTGGACAAATTTAAGGACCCTGATAAGTGTGACACGTCAGGTATGAGCACAGGGCAACTCCGAACGTTTTCGACGGCAAGTTTAGTGACGCGAGGATGGCAACTTTAGTTGGCAAGCATGGCAACTTTCGTGCTTCAGTTTATTTTTCACAGAAAGTTGCCGTGTGTCAATGACATTCGTCTGCGAGTGACTTATGATAGAGGATTAGTTGTGTAAATTTAGTATGTTTGAAGACTGCAAAGACCAGATTGACCTGGTTTGGGTGAATAAGTAAGCAGAGATTTGGGTAAAAACTGTTATCTTGGCCTCTCTGTATTCCTCCATGTTGCTAGTGCTCATGGTGCCAACTTTTGTAGCACTCCCCCTCCTTGATAGCCTCGACATCCTTTTTCCACGACCACGTGGCTTTAAGTTCTTGCTTCTTACCTTTTTCGTCACCCCAAGTACCTCCCTAGCTACCTTCCAAATGCAAAAAGCCATCTTCACCCACATGCTATCTGCTGTTCCTTCTTCACCCCATGGTCCTTCTGCAATCATCCTCTCCTTAAGGTTTGCTGTGCTTCCCCTTTGAGCTTCCACCACTTTGTCCTTGTGATTTTGGCACCTTTGTCTAGGATAGGGTGCCACTCAGACTGGTAAGCTAACCTACTGAGAGTTGCAATCCCAAATGTTTGCAAGGGAAATTCCCAATCTGGCAGGGTAAGGCTGAAGCAACCAGAAGTTGTTCTTGCTCCTCTCATCTGATAAGGATCGTTGATGGTTTGACATAATTGATACAGAGACCAGAGGCCATACCGAAAATTGGCAAAGCTTCTCTGACGAAGGCAAAGTCAAGAGAAGTTGGCCTGATGAGGACCACATCATCAGCGTAAATCAAGAGCCTCTGAAGCGGAGAACAGCCCGGCATATAACTAATGATGCCCGCTGATTCTTCCTTGATAACCATGGCTGTCAACGCCTCCATCCAATGACGAGGAGGGGGTGATTGGGTCACCTTGATGCAAACCACAAGCATGCACTACCTTGGCCCCACACTTACATTCACGACGATACAGGTGCTGGCAGAAGAGAGGGGAATGGCGATCTAAGTTCTCCAGCTATCCCTAAATCCTTTCGGACGTAGGATCTCAAACAAGAAATACTAGGAGGGGCGCGGGAAATATTGAGCTTAAGAAGCACCTTTAGCCTTTCGTTTATGAAGTTTGTGCGCAACTTACCGGACCAGGATCAAGTTATCATGCAGATCGTGACCCTTAATTAACGGCTTAACGCTGATTGCTTTGCACTAACAAGCTCACTGTGGGGCTGAAGCCGCACCACCAACAACTTAGAGAAGCTATGTACTAAGCTAATCGTGTGGTAATCTCCTACCTCATGGCGTCAGAGCTCTTGGAGACCAGGGAGATGAGAGCTTGATTAAGTTCTCACATTGGCTACTATGTGTAGAAGTTTGGTGTTAGCATCTCCTTCCTGTAGCCACTGCAATCTAGAACACCGTCAGGCAATCGTGCGTTCCAGCGAAGACAAGCCGAGAATGGAAGCTTCAAGGATCTTCTCAACCATATTTCCGCCGGGAACTGAAGCCTTGAGTGGTGAGCAGCATCTAAACGCAGAATCACTGCGTTGGCAATCGCTTGCCGCGTTTCTAAAAAGAGTGATCCAGAACGCTTGTAGGGGTCAGCGGTTGCTGGACTGCACCTCCACGCCTCCTGGATAGCCTCCTTAAATCCTTCCAGCTTGGCCCAGAATATTTCACACCACGCTTGGTGGAAAAGTCTGCATTTAAAGGGAGATGAAAAGGAAAATGATCAGAGATAGCAGTTGATAGCACCTACAGTAGGCAGTAAGGATAAAACAGTTCCCAGTCCACTGTCCTTTTTTTTGAGGGGTGCCCAGTCCACTGTCTATGATGATATTTTGAGCATTGACGTCATTTCTCCAAGCATGCGTTTTCAAAAGTGCTGATAAACTGCTTTTATTTTCCTGTTCTTGTCCTGCTAATTTCACTTAGCTAGTATTCTATACTTTATGCCTATAAAACAATCTGATGTGGTCCCCATTCTCTGTCTGTAAGCAGGTATTATCTGCTCTGAACTTGCTCAGATTGATTCTGATAATAGATTCAAGAGGTAACTGTTCTTGCAAACCCGTGATGTATTGCTCTTGGCAGAGCGAATCCTGGAATCGACCAACATTTTGTGTGTTAACAGAAGTTTTCCCTTTTTTTATCATTAGGATCCAGATCAGCCAAAATGTTGCGGGATGAAAAAATACGAGCCGTGTACTCAGAGTGGCTGATCCCACTAAGATTAATTATTACAGGGATTCAATCGGAACTCGAGAAAGGCGGCGGTGAGGATGAAAATCAGATGTTGTGCTTGTTAAATCCTGTTCAATTCGTACTTCACCGCTGCATTGAGCTGGTGGAGGAAAAAAATGAAGGGTTTGTAATGCTCGAGCAGTGTTGCCTTGGCCAGGAAATGTGAAATTTCACTCATCAGTATTCTGAATCCATTTCCTCCATTATTTATGCCGTATAGACATCCTCTGCTGCGAGTATATGTAAATCCTCAATGAAATGTTGGACTATATGTGGTTGTTTCATCCCAGTCACTGTGTATGGGCCTCGTGCAGTAGAAAATATCACTATTCTCTTTTTTAAGTGCAAATATCACTATTTTCGATGCTTAATGACTTGTAGGTGTTATTTTCCTATTTTCTCTTCATATATGCCACGAGCGTAGAGTACATGAGAAGGCCGCAGCCCGAGTCGCCTAGGTTGACCAGGAATAGATTGAGCCACCTAGGTCACCGGCAAAAAAAAAAGATTGAGCCACCTAGGTGATTTTTCTTTCCTCTCTCCCAACTCCCAAGAAGCATTGGGAAAGCCTTCCTCCCCTCGATCTCCGCCGTCGAGCTCGTGGATTCGCCCTCCTTCGCCTGTTGCTCCAGCGGCCGGTGGCGGGGAGGAGAATCCTGGTGTATCGGCTCCCGCTAGTTGATCGGTAGGGTTTTAGTCCTCGCAAGGGCAGCTTTTGGACGGATGGTGGCGCTCCTTCTTCGAGTTAGTTATTTGGACTCTGATCCTTCTTAAGTTCATCTGTTGGGACAGGTTAGACGGAGCTCCTGTATAGATTCCTGCTAGCTCCTTCGGGCGACGAGGTTAGGGTTTCTCGTCATGCGTATGCAACGATGACATTTGGTGTTTGATTCTTTAGATCGATTTAAGAATTCAACGGCGACGATTGCGGCTCCGGGGGGCTGGGTCTTAGGGGCACGTGCACGAAGACTTATCGACTGTCATTGAGGAGGTCAGGCCGGCTCCGGTATGGAAGCAGCGACAGCAGCGCGTCGGCGGCTCGTTCTGGAGCGACAATGGTTGTTCGATGGTCCATGGACCTCTGGTGAATCTTTATTATGTTTGAGGTGCTTTGTACTTCCGGTGAATCTTTATAATAAAGGATTGTAGTACTCCACGACACATGCATAACCCGACGTCTTCGCATCCTCGCTTTTCTGAGCCTACGTGAGCAACATGACTTGATCAATCAGACGGTGCCAAGCTGTCACGCCGAGAGACGAGTGCCGCACGTTCGCTCGTTGGGTTTGTCGATTGTCCATACTCGTTGCATTGTACCCGTTGATCGACGCGGTTTGGAGAAGCGAGAGAAAAGAGATGTGGTGGTGCATTTGTTTTTTTCAAAAATGAAATCATCTGTATGGATGAAAAAAAAAACCTGACACTGACGGGCCATGGCGAAGAAGAGAAGGTCAAATAAAGTATTCATTGCTTGTCCATACTTGTTGCATCGCACCATAGGATCTACGAGATTTGCTTGTTGAATCGCACTACTGGATCTATGGGATTGGGAGAAGCAAGAGAGGAAGACGTGGCACGGACTCATTTTTTCAAAATTGAAATTGTCTTGATGAATGAAAAAGAGAACACCGAACCACTACGAAGAAAGAAAGTAGGGGAGAACATATGTTGCTCGTCCGTACTTATTGCATCACATCACAGGATCTATGGGGTTTGCTTCTTGAATTACACCACAGGATCTACGGGATTGGGAAAAGCAAGAGAAAAGAAGAGGTGGCACGGACTCATTTTTTCAAAATTGAAATTATCTAGATGAATGAAAAAGAGAACACCGAACCACTGCGAAGAAAGAAGGTAGGGGAAGATATATGTTGCTCATCCATACTTGTTGCATCGCATCACAGGATCCACGGGGTTTGCTTGTTGAATAGCACCACTAGATCTACGTGATTGGGAGAAGCAAGAGAAAAGAAGACGTGGCACGCACTCAGTTTTTTCAAAACTGAAATTATCTTGATGAATGAAAAAGAGAACACCGAACCACTACGAAGAAAGAAGGCAGGGGAAAACATATGTTGCTCGTCCAAGCTTGTTGCATCGTACCGTGAGATCTGCATAATTAGGAGAAGCTAGAGAAAAGAAAGGTTCTCGTCCATACTTATAGCGTCACACTGTTGGATTTACGCAATTGGGTGGAGCAAGGAAAAAATTTGAAAAAATATATCATCATAAGTTATTGGGGGAGAAGAGGGAAAAAAATCAAAATCATCATAAATTTTTGGGGGAAGCGAGAGAAAAAAAATAATCAAAATAATTTGAATAAACAAAAACATGACTCGGAGAAGAAAGAGGAAAAAATTTAAGAGTGTTCTTAAAAAAATAAGAGAAGCGACTGAACTGGCAGAGCTAAGAGAAAAAAATTAAAAGCATAATTGAGAGAAGCTAGAAAAAAGGTGCTAAAAAGTAGGCAATATATCATATGAAAGAAGAAAAGTCATCATTTTTGAAGAAGCGAGAGATAAAAAAATCAAAATGATCTGGAAAAACAAAAAGACCAACCATGTACGTCTACACGGATCTGACGATCGTATTAGACTTAGGCGAACCGAATAGACATACGTCGGCCTTTTACCTCCGCAGACCCGTTAGATCAGCGCTAACTGATTCGTGACCGCATCGTTGGTGACAATTGGGTCAGTGCCAGCGTATTTAAGCAGCCAAGTTGCCTACCAAGCTTGCGGTGTGGTACTAAATAAAGGCGAACAGATCGGTCTGCTCGTTTCCGGCGCACCAGCAGCTGAACGCTCGCTGGGCCACCCTCGCCCTCGGTCCACTAGCTAAGCTGGGCCTCTAAAGAAAATAAAAGTAGCGATTTGTTTTTTGAGCGGAAGATAAGTAGCGACGTTGGGTGACAACGGGGCCGAAGAGAAAAAAAGTACGTAGCGATTTGTGTTTTGAGCGGAAGAAAAGTTTAGACCACGCGACCAACGGAACAGTACACAACCTGAAGCTGTTGTCCCAAGAGAAAAAAAAAGATGAGCCTAAAAAAAAGCATGCCGCCGTCAGAAATAATAAAAATTACATCCAGATGTGTAGACCAACTAGCGACGATTATAGGCATTGAAGTGAGCCGAAGGCATGCCGCCGTCATTGCCCCTCACTCACCGGAATCAGGCAAAATTTGTTATAATAGATAGTCGGAAAGTCGTCGTGCTAAGCCCCCGTAGGACCAGCGCAGCAGAATAGCAACCACCACCGATGAAGAGCAGCGTAGATCGGAAGGATTGAACCTGAAGACGCACCAACGTGGACGAAATATGAGCAGATCCGAGCAAATCCACCAAGGACATATCTGCCCGGAGACACCTCCACATGCCCACCAACGATGCTAGACACATCACCGAGACAGGGGCTAGGCGGAAAGAAACTTACTCCATCTTTAGAGAGTTGTCGTCGTCTCGTCTTCCTGAGAATGACAAACCCTAACAAAACTCAAAAAAACATTTTAAAACAGAGCCCTTCCACCGGCAAGGCACTACTAAGAAAAGGCCTACTAATGACGCACCGGTTTTGCCTACTAATGACGCATCACCGGTGCGCCATTAGTAGCATGCCACTAGTAATTTTTACTAATGGCGCATCACTGGTGCGTCATTAGTATCTGGTATACTAATGACGCACCATCCAGTGCGCCATTAGTATATAACACCATGCACCATTAGTGTGCCTTCCAGGGGTCATATTTAACCATGTGTTTTGGCACACTAATGGCGCACTGCGGATGGATGCGCCATTAGTATACTTGGCATACTAATGGCGCACTCTGTAATGATGCGCCATTAGTATGAATATTAGGTTTTATTTTTTTACTTTTCTGATTTTTGCACATGTTATAAAATATATTATTTGACAGAATATAGACAGTAGCACACAACAACAGTAGATTCATCGAATACAATAGAAGATTAGTCTCCAAATACAATTCATCATATTAGTCTCCGAATTCAAAAGACCGAACAAAGATAAAACATTACAAGTCTCGAGACTGCGAGTATCGAGTTTGTCGGAAGTAATACTAATCCTAACAAGTCCTACTAATTATCATCATACAACTTCTACTCGTTATTCATAACAAGTCATACGATCATCATCTTGATAGTCTTCGAACCAACCCTACTTAATTGTTCTTAGCACATGATCATCAGTATTAGGCAGGACCTAAATACCCTATTTAAGCTAAAATAGCATAAAACAATATAGACCCTGACTCTCTATTATGGAGAATGGAGAACATCCTGTCTCCAATTCTTGCGCTTCGCTTTCTTTTGCTTCCAAGAAGCTCCTTACGACTGTCCATACATTTTTTCCATCCTTTGATTTTCATGTCTCCACTTCTTTTAGAAATCTCGTATGGACAGTTGAGATTCGTAGGACGACCTGGCTGTATGTTTAAAACATTAACACTACCTTTCAGATACATCATATAAGGCACACAATTCTCTGGGATTATCTGTTGAAAAACATAGTAATAACTTCATAGTTAGCAATGATGTACTAGTTTTAGAAGTATGCAAAAGATGCACAGATGTCGTAATAGTAAAAATCTTACCAGGGTATCTCCATGGTAGTTACCGTAGTTGAACACATGCACTAGTGGCACGTATTTACCATAATGTTGAGGAGTTTGATTGTAGATATTGTAATTTTCAATGTCAGTACAAAATCCGACCAAATAATTTTTCTCCTTGTAAGTTGTTAATTCGGAGCCATCGGTGTAGTGGGTTTTGTTTACCATCTCCCGCACATTCTTTGAACAATAAAAATAAGCTGTCAACTATTTTGAAATAAACAATATAAATTAGCTAATAACTATGTTTGAGAAACTCACATAGCGGTAGAACTGGAGGCGTATCAACAAGGACCCAAATGTCCATATTGTCTTGGTTGATGTCAGGATTACCAAGATCCATGGTGATAAGCATACCCTCATCAAAATCATACATCTTGCAAAATGCTTCCCAATTTTTGCAACCAAAATGGGTTACGCTCTCAGAATTATATAGATTTACTTCAAAGTCCACATCGTGGTGAGTCCTTAGGTGAATTTTCTTTGTTTCAGAAATTTCATGGTCTTCAAAATCCATCCTCTCCAACACATAGCGTCTT